ATATCAGTAACATTAGGTCAAAATGAAGTTGGTACCATGTCTTTACCTGCTTTGGTTATCGAAATATGGTTTTCAGGATATATAATGAGCCATGTTCTTATGCACAATAATGAGATTACATAATCATATACAGCCATTTCTAATGTCAGTTACATCTTTCATTCAATGTCTTCATAATAACACTAGTTACATGTCCTGTTCTGCGACAGTGTTTCAGATATGACTGCTATGCATATTAATGAGTTCACATGACCATATATGGTCATCTGTTATTTTAATCAAATCTCTTGTTCACTGTTGTCATAATACAGGATTCATCTTCCTAACTGCAACAGTGTTTAAGATATAATGGTTATGCATATTAATGAGCTCACATAACCATAAATGGTCATTTGTTATTTTAATCAAATCTCTTGTTCAACATTGTCATAATAACACAGGATTCATCATCCTAACTACAACAGTGCTTGAGTTATAACAGTTATGCATATTAATGAGGTTAGAAGCCCCCCACCCCATGGGTGCCCAGCCACGTGGCCTAGCAGTGTGCTATTGGGGCAAAATGATGCATCTGATGACACAAATGCACATACAAAATTTGAAAGAAATCAGACTAATACAAAACATGTAGTTCCACAATTTCTACACAAAATCCAAGATGGCGGCCAAACCACGTGACTGATCAAAATAATATTATTTTTCTCATATGGAGCTAAGGCCAGGCATGGTAAATATAAAAACATCTAGTAGATTGGTTGAATCACCTCTGAGAAACAAATGCCCAAACTTTTGGTCAATTTTGCTTAAAATCCAAGATGGCGGCCAAACCACGTGACTGATCTGAAATCTTTTTTAGGTTTCTGAAAGGGTTTGATATACAGATGCCATGAAGCAAAATTGAAAATAATTCCTCAAGTGTTGCCAGAGTAAAAAACTACTTCCTGTTTAGAAGAAATCCAAAATGGTGGCCAAACCACGTGACCAATCGTAATAATTTTTTCAAACATAAATGGGATTCACATATAGAAGCTAAATGCTACATGTGAGAGCATTCTGCTAGGTGGTTCTGAAGAAGAAGATTTTTAAGTGTTTTTTGCCGTTTTTAGGAAAAACAAAATGGCGGGAAAAGTCACGTGACCGCTAAAGTTTTTATTGCTGATATTTAATACACATGAGTTGTACTATATACCATAACAAAATCTAGACGCCTAGACCCTCAGAAAGTGATCAAACGGCCACTTCCGGTTTTATTTCAATCCAATAATAACATTTTATTTTTGTCAAATATAATGGCAGCCAGTCATATTGGATACGATATGATACGTGACAAAATATTTACAAAATAAGTATCGTTCCCGTTGCTTCATCATGACTCATTTATAAATGTTTATTTTGTACACATTCAGAACACAAAAATTAAATTAAAAAAAAAACAGAATTAAACGAGCAAAATGATACTCCCACACACATTCAAAAGACTATAGCAATAATGGTTGAATCTTTTTAGTCAAGATGTATTTTCATTTCAATATTCCCCAGATGCCTCTATTCAAGGTATTTTTTGTAAACCCCTGACATTTACATTAACAAGATCTACCATTTTGGAACAACGCAGAGTAATTGAAGAATGAAAAGCAAACAGGAAACGAGAGAAATTGTACTGATGTATAAGCCTTGTCTTGAGGTTTTACTTATTAAACGATCAAAAATGGAGAAATTAATTAATGAGATATATTTAGCACAATACCATTTTGATTAACCTAATGCTATGCTTCAAAATAATTACAATGGTTTCGTGCATTTTTTTTTCTATAACAAACCACAGTTATTACTTAATAGCTTGATACTGCATTATATTTCCCAACTGCAGAGATGGAAATACTTTGTGAAGGAATGTTTGAACACCTGGTACATTCATATTACTTTTCCAAAGCTGGGCCTAAAGGAATAACATCACGAACATGGTGGCACCATGATTTTCAAAAATAATATAGTGAATACTTCCACTGTACATAATATTTAAATCCAAAATACAACATTTCATTTTAATACAGAATACCGACCAACCTTCAATGAATATACTATTTTATTTGGTATTTTAGATAATTTAAGTCGCCACAGATGTAAATAAAATACCAGCTTCTATTACAAAAAAGTGGCAGTACCAGTTAAAATGTCATACTAGCAGTTAGGAAATGGCTTTACTGCTATGTACATGCAAGTTTAGTTACTAATTAAAATAGCGAGATAGACACCCTCTCGTGTTCCATATGGTAGATTAATTTTTACATGTTTGCACAAGAAAATTTATCTTATTTATAATGCTGCAAACAAATTTTGTAAATTGTAATTTCAAGTATTAGTGTAGATGTGGTGAAATTTTAAATAAATATTTTATCATTTGTATGGTCAAATTGGGATAACAATTGACACAGATAATACAAAATTTCTTGTTGATATGGTAACAACTGCGAATTTCAATATTAGACAGTTCTAGATAATCATCTAATTTTTAAAACAAGTCTTTGTGAAATAATTAACAATTGCTAGCCAATAATCAACCACTAATTACATGTAGTACCTAAACATGAATATCAAATAAAAAATCTGATCCTGGTTCAATTAATTAATTAACTATATTTTATTTTTTTACAAATATAACCTTATTTGTTTAAGAATTGTTGAAATCTGAATATCTGCTACATGCATACATGTTAGTTTTCTATTTGTACAACACTACAATAAGTAAAAGATTTGTCAATGTCTCACCCTAATCCACTAGAGCATAAATATAATACAACAAAATACTTCAACTGCATTATAAAATTGAGAAGTGACACAGATAGCTCCGCTGTTAGCAATGCACATTTCAATTAAAGAACAGAAGATATCATTAGAAAATGAACAATATGCATAGTATCAATGCAATGGGACTTGCTGTTTTCAACAAGAATTCAAAAATATCATTTTTGACCATAAATGATTGTGATTTTTAACAAAAAGAAAATATCACTTTTTACCAAAAATGACAAAAATATTCACCAAAATTAGAGAATTGAAAATATGATCATGAAATGAACAAATCTGAGAGAAGTCTACCCAAGGTACATATACACCAAGTATCAAAGCATTCAGGCTTGTAGTTTTCAAGAAGAAGTCGAAAAAGTAAAACATTGACACGGACAATGGACACCGACGGACAATCACTCATATGATAAGCTCCGCTCGACTTTGTCGACAGCGGAGCTAAAAAAAACAACATTTCTATCAAATACAGTAGCTGACAAAAGGGAAAAAAGCTATGGACAATTAGCTTCATTTACATGCAAGTGCCTGAATATAACAATTTTAAATACTGATTCAATCTAACAAAATACGCTACTGCCCTTTTTTTGCACCAGGCTGTCATTTTATCACATGTTTGTAAAAAAAAAATAGAAACTATAGCTTACTTTATTGTGCAATTATCTGACCTTTCTGTCACTATTTCTCAGTTATAGCTAGACTATCAATGTTGAAACTAAATATTTGTAATGTTGTAGAGAAGATTAACCCCTTCAGAATTTAGTATCAACACTAATGGAAAGAAACAATGAAAAATATGGAGGCCACCATTGGGTATAAATGGTAACAGCTCAACATGCAGGAAGGATTTGAAATACAATTAACATGATTGACAGATTTCATTTCCTGCAGTCAGAATTAAATAATCTATGTAGTCTTATTTTATTGACCAACCAGTTCCCTAATACCCTGTCCAAAAAATGATATACTTTGCATAAAAATAAATTATAGAATGATAATTAGTCAAAAAAATAGATTAAATTCATAACACAGAAATAAAAAAAAAGTAAATATAACTACCATATGATAGGTTTAATTATGATATTGTGACACTCCTCAAAGCAAATAAAAAATTCTTATCATTGTGGAAGAAGTCAATGTATAAACATTTACTTCAAATTTATTTCCCAAACTATATGAAGAAAGTAAAAAAACAAGGAAACTGTAGTGAAAATGTACAATATATAGTGCATGTTCAAGGATTGATTGATATAACAAATACATGCCATCACAGTAATACCAATAATGCCTATAAACAGAGTGGAATAATTTTATAAATTAGATAAATGCAAGTAGCACAAAATATTTTAAAGCTATCCTCCTAGTTGATCAACCCACTTGGGATTAAACCACAAACCATAAATATACATGTCATGGTTCATACAAACTACTTGTGTACATGAAATATGTAAAACAAGCTAGACGGTTCCCAGCATCAATGACATTTATACTGCAGCCATTTATATGCAAATTTTAATATTAAAACAATCAATTGTTAAAAATTAGAAAACTTATAATTTTATATACATAAAATTAATTGAATTACTAGCTAAAACCATACATATATTTAAAATCTGCTTAATTGATGGGATTCCTATTACTTTTACAGAGGTAAACAGTAATTTATATCAACTTTTACATAGATTCTTAACTGGTTAGATTTAAGTTATCTACAAAACAGTATTCTTTAAAAACATTTAAAAATGAGTGTACTCATTGTCTTCTAAGAAATATTGAATGACAGAATTTAAAAATATTAAATACTTTACGATTCAACCCTAATTCAAAAATGTCATGTTCAAATTTATAGTTAAATTTTACTCAAATTCTACCTGGATAGTTTCTCATGAGACTGATATCCTCCTTATTTAAAACAGTAACAGTAAGGATCCCCAAGCTCAAATTTCCAGTAGAATGGAAATTTTAACCATTTCCCAGAAGACCCAATAAGTAACTCTCGCACTAATTTTGGAAAATATAATGAAGAGTATTTCAGGGACTATCACTTGCATTATGAAGTTAATCATTGATATTGAAATAATTGCATGCGACTGTACACACCCAAGAGAGAGTTTCTATGATACCAGCATTCAGTAAACACCCCCCCCCCCCCCACACACACACACACAGCACAAGAAACATGACAATGTACCAACCTCTCAAGTGACTGTCCAGATGATCTGAAGGAGTTCGCATGATATCCATAAGATGGTGCTCCAATGCTGGAAATTTCATACTATCATAGTTCTGGGTATTCCGGTCCTGCAGTAAAATTATAAAAAACAGTCAAGTACATTTTTAAATGGAAGTTTTTACTTTGTGGTGAAACGTACTAATAATCAAACAGAACAGAATTAACTATCCAATTCCACGACCATGATTGTGCATTAGGGATGATGGACATTGCATGATACATGAAACTCGTGGGCAAGGTTTAAGCGAATTGTACTGCAGAACAAATTTGAAATACAGGTCAATTCATTATCCAAAGCATACTCATTGCAAGGAAGGGTTAAAGGTTGATGGTATCATTATTGGTAAAAAATAAGTCAGGTCAAAAAAACAACATGGAGGGCACTATGTCAATGGTAGCTAGCCAAAGAAACAAAATAACAGTTAATGGCATTGCAGCAATACTTGTGTAAACTGAAGTAAATATACTCAAAGTTATGCACCAATGAAATATGAAATATTGGGCTAAAAATAAAACTTTAATGAATTAATTAAAAAGGAGTGGGGCACAAAAAGCATATCAATGCAAAATATGTACTATGGTATTTACATTTAGTTTATTATAGTAACCTAAATCTACTATCGATTAAATTAACCCATGGGAATTAGCTAAATTAAAAACTAATATGGGTGACATTCTAATATCAACAATAATAGCCAAAAACTAAGCACAGATAGACCACATCACTTTGAGATTATAACAACCTCAGGCAAAATTCTAAGTCAATTATACATCAGGATATCAAAAGGATACATACTGTCAAAATAATTTTGTACTGTCAGCTATTTCAAATTCCGATATTTCATTTTAAACATTAATGAACGAGAGAAAATATATTTTATGTTATTAAGATAGGAGTTGAACATCAAATATTTAATTTTGCCCAGTTTCTTAATTACAGTATTATTGTTTAAAATAATGTAATTTTGTAATGTAATTTAATCTACATTATTTTTAATAATATAATGCAATTAAATCAGCTTTATTTATTTCCTAAATGGCATGCAGAACAAAAACTAAACACTGCTGATAAACATTGGGCTACAAGTAACTTGAAGACAAGTCTCTCATTCTGAAGAGTATATCACTAATGTCCACAACATCCATTTTTTCTTTACTTGTTGAAGCAAAGGTGGATACTATGCATCTTTTTTTCATAATTATAAATAACCTAATGTAGTTCAAACAAAGCACTGAAGGACTAGAACGAACAAACTAATTGGCTCTTTAAAAAATCAAATTTGCATATATCCACAGTGGTCAATAGTTTGTTATTGATGTTACTCCCCCATATACAACTATTACACAAGGGAAATTGCCATTATTCATCCAGTAATGTAGATATATAAACTGACATATGAACTCAAAAATGTTGAGAATTTTGAGTGCATTGATAATTTTGTTAGCTACAGACAGTATTGAAACATTAGTTAAGAATTGGGATATGCTATATAACTTTACATGGGTGTTCAGACTTATTATAATGCCAAAAATACAATTTAAATGTTCATTGAAAAATATGTGAATTTCAGTCTATGATTAAAGTCCAAAAAAACGAAGTCACAGAAAGATTTCTTGTAGGTCACTAGAACGACCTTTGTCCTGACTTATCACACAATAGTCTTTGTCCAATGGCAAGACTAATTCAAAAAGCAGAAACGAATGCAAGCAAACCACGACACGGTAAATAAAATAGTGGTAAATGATAAATAATTTCTCACGTACATGTGACGGTAATCCAAGCAAGTATTCCTGGCGTGTACGGAGTTTTTTGTTAACCGGCACACAGAATATTTTTAATATCGCTTTTGACCAGATAATGTGAATTTACTGTTCTACATTAAAGTAAACAGACACAAATAAAAAAAGACGACCATGCGAGGCCATGTTATCCCATTACTGTCCTATTACAATAAAAACTACCTTGGCTATGTCCTCTAAACGCTCACTCCCTCAAAATTATACTGTTACCTGATGAAAAGACAGCATCGTGTGATGGTGGTCATTCCTCTTCATATCGTCCACTGAAGTAATCTCAAAGCTAGGATTTAAACCTGGGTTGGGGAACGCCTTTGTTCCTGGGAGTGATGTACTTCGTGTAAATTTTGAAGGCGAGATGACAGGATGCTGATGACCCGTTTTTTTCATGGGCGATATCGGACCGGGATTTAAAGATGGAGCTGACCTGCGTTGTTGGTTATGCGGGCCACCGACTGTCCCCCATGGCGAAGTCTGTACATTTTGCGGATTGGCTGCCCACGTCGCTGGTTGTTGTGGGCTACTCCAATTTGTATACTGCTTGCTAGGCTGCATGTAGATATTCGTAGGTGGTTGTTGCATTAAAGCTTGGGATGATGTAGGGAAAAGCGTTTGTTGTTGCTGTGTAGGTTGATGCTGGGCACGCCGCTGAGCTGGAGGCTGGTGATGCTGTTGCGTCTGCTGTGGTTGTGGCAAATTTATTTGAGGCCCTAAAGATGTGTTAAACATCTGAGCTGGATTTGGGGGAAAGTTCTGAAATTGAACGCCACCGTTCATAGTCGGTATTCCTTGCATAAATGTATCGTCAACTGATGCTGTTGACCAGAAACTTGGTGCAAGTGGAGGGTTGCCGGCGTCCTGAAATCCCAACTGATGCAATGGCGATGTTGATGAGGTCGCAATATCAGCTTGTATGTTCTTGATCTTGTCGGGAACGGTTGCGGGACTCGAATCCTCTGATTTTGACTTGCCTAGTGGAGATAATTCTTCTGAATTATCCGAACTGTGATCCATGCCGGGAGAAAGCTGTTGTGGTTGCTGCTTTCCAGCAGTATTATCTGCCAACATATCATCTTGCATGGTAGGGGATTCGGAGGAAAACAAAGACGTCGTCGTGTTCAGGCTGTTGTAGAACTCAATCGGTGACAAAGCCCTAGAATTACTCGTATTGAGCCCGAAACCGTATTCCCCCATTTAGCGATAACAGTCTTTACTTGATCTGTAAATTGTAGTGCCGTTCAAGCTCGCAGACGGTCTAATTTTGGACCCAATTTTCAGCAAATGACGCGGGTGCTCCGACCTCACCACACACGTATCACGAAGTGAACAAAATGCCGTCTGCACTAGCGAGTTCCTTATTTAGATGGCTGTGTCGAGCGCCCCCAAATTACGTAATTGTATGCAGCACCGACCAGGAAGTCTTATTTTTTATCGATTTATTTCAAAAATTCGATAATTTTTTTAAAATCTTCAGATAACACAAAACTGGTAACGCTCTAAAAACACGAATATCTAGTAATTTGTTGATTTGTCCACAATATAATAAGAAAACAGGAAAAATATTGCAGAGGACAGACAGACTTGGGCGCCATGAAACAGTATTGATGTTGATCGGGTCATGTTGATACCGGTCATGTGTTCCACAGTTCGTGGCGTGGAAGAATTTTTAATCAGCTGATTGGTGGTTTTCTTACTTAATTTAAAAACCTATTTTTGTCACTATGTATTTTTATCTTTATGTTTTTGTACGGTAAATTACATTTCCAACCCACATGCCTCTCCACTCCCAGATCGAGTAAAATATAGAGAAAATGTTGAATTATCACCCCATTTGTATTTTGGAGTGAATACGAAATAAAAAGAACAATAAATCAACAAATTTGGTTCAATAAATAATTCTACAGCTGTATTTCCCTTCTCAGTTCACATCTGTTAAAATTGACGCCTATCAGAATAATTAACATTTTGATGCAAATATAATGCTAATGACCCACATTTGGCAAACTGTGCTCAATGGTATTGGGAACAGAATCAGCAACATTGCAGAAACGCGCAGTGGAAGAATGGAATATATCAATTATTATTTTGTGATATCTTTCTGACACGCGTACATAATACGACCAGGTCATCGTGATATTCAAGATGACATGTAACACGATGACCTCAATCGTAACTTCGGGTGCGTTGAAATTCGCAGATTTGGAATGGGGTGAGTATTTTTCGTTACATATCAACTCACAAGAATGTTAGTCTTTTATTACCTTCGACGTCAAATAAAATATGTATAGATAACAAAATACAGCAGCAAGTTTAGTATTTATTCATAAATAAAGTGATTGATATAGACGAATAAACCCAGAGTTCCCCTGTGGTTAAAATAGACGCGCCCCTTTAAAATAGTGGTTGTGCCATTTTCAAAACACGACGCCATCTTAGATAGTTTTGCTACTTCCGCGTTTCTAAAGTTGTTTGCAAAGGAAGCGTGAAGCGTCTTGGGTATAATCACACAAGAGTTTGTGTCATTATTTTATTGTACACTATCTATTTGTCGGTACTCTAATGTGTTCAAAGAAAGATTCCACGAAGGATTCAGACAAATACGAAGAGAAATCACACACATCGCTGAGATATCGAGTCCTGTGCTGTGTTGGCGACATCACTAAAACAATACCAAGATTCTTATGAATGAATAATTCTAGCACTATAAAGCTACACGAAACTTCGTAAGAAAAACAGAAGAATATGTCACATGCTTCCTCATACAGGCGATTTTCAAGTACCGACGACAGGTAAGAACGATTTTTTTCATTCTTATCACCATTAGCTCAACAATTCCTGTAAAAGACCCATGACACTGGACACGGGAAAAGTAATAAAAACAAATTATAAGAAAATACCTACATGCCTTTAACCTGTATTTGTTGTTTATTTACTCCGTTTACATTCGATAGTAAGTGATTTCGATGATATGTAATTACTTGTACATATTGAAATCACACCCTTATTCGTCGATCTGTTGGCCCAAACATGGAAAATGATACGCATATGATGATAATAATAATTGTTATAGTGAAATTATATCCATTTGTTGTTATGGTGTTTATTAGGTGCCATCGTGCAAATGAACGGCAAATAAAATTCAACACACAATTATTTTTTTCACGTCATGTAGTATTGCAAGAAAATAGCAGTTGCAGCAGCACATAAATATGCGTCGCTGATGATGGTTTGCATTCATTTCATTCATTGATACAGCATCCGACCATATACTAGTATATCTGAACTTCCTGTCATCATCATTTCATACTAGTATGAATCAACTTATGTTTTCTTAAATTTACCACCGAGCCGAGCGTTCGGACAGCAAATCTCGGCATGTGCAGAGTTTCGGTCCCAAGCATCAGTCGGGACCGAGATCAAGTTCTTTTTGGCACATGCCAACTCAGCTATGACTATTCACACACAAGTTTGACTCGGTCCTGAGTCTCGGCACGTGCCAACATCTCTAACGCCACTACTATGAACCGAATGTGATGTGCTGTACACAGAGTTTACACAACTTTATGAAAATGGTTTGAATGACCAGAAAAAACATACATGACCGCCAACAGTGAGTTTACTATGTGAATGTTCCTATTTTGGGATCTCTGAGTCCAAAGAAAAGAAACTAGAAGTAAAATTATCCACCGACAACAACAGAAATGAAAGCAGAGTCAGTTTGGCTCTAATTTCCTATGATGATTGGTCAACAAGTCTGTCCATATGGTAATGTTGTGTAAATGTTGATATAGTCGAGAAACACATTCAGAACTACTTTTTGAAACTCTGGCATGTTGATACAAATCTCCAGACAAGTTGACATTAGAACAAATTATCTTGACCATAGCATATTTTTTTACATGCATGCATGTTCAATTTCAATTATGTCACTGTTGGATTGATTCAGACTATGTGGAGTTCTTGTCACTTAGAACAACACTTTGCTTAGCCATTGTGCCGCAATTCATTATCGAATAAAATGTTTAGGAAAAAAATACCTACTTTAGCCGCCAAATCACTACTGTAACAATGTTTACTATCTGCCACTGGAGGTGACTAAACAAATATAATTTAATGGGACTATCCATTAGTTTAAAAATGATTATTTTTTCTATGAGATTGTTGGACACATTGCAAACTTTTATATCAGTGTTACATCAACTTGTCAGGAAGTTTGTATCAAGATGTCAAGATTCAAAAAAGTAGTTCTAAATGAGTTTACATCATTCTAATTGTTTATTGTGTGTAAATAAAAACATTATGAGGTCAAAAAAGTTTGTACCATAAGACAGTTTAAATTCTTTTTGTATCTTGTCATAAATGGAAAAATAGAGAATTCAAGTCTTCAACCTCTTACCCAATTCATATGTCTCCCTATATGACCAATCCTATACAACTGCTTT